GAGGTTGACAGTTAAATGTTAATAACTAGCCATGCTCTTTAGGGATTAGCATGACTAGCATTTTAACCCGTGTCATGCACGTGGTGAAACAAGTTTTTTTCCCTGATTTTATAATTTTTATTTGCTACATCATTCTTCAGATATCGGACAAAATAAAACATATACATTTGCTAATGAAATTTCTACAACATACATTTGAAATTTAAATGTCGAAGTATTTTTTAAATTTAAACATTTTGGAAAATTTTTAGCTATACAATAATTTTTTGTGATGTTATAAATATTACCAATAACATTTAACACTAACACTTTGAACCCTACTTTCACTCTTACTCGCAAAACACTAATATCAAAGTTATATCGTAATGCAATGTATTTTTTTCACATATCATGGTCAAAGTTTACAAACTTTGACCAAGAAAAGTCAAATGGGAAGAATATTTCCGGACGGAGGGATTAGTTAGTGGTAAATGAATACGGACTTGGTAAAAAATAACCTAATTAATGATAATGTTTAGCCTTAACTTTATTTATAATCATAACCGAACATAAACTATTAAAAATTATATTCTTTAAAATTTCACGGGTAATCTTGTATGAAATGATACATATTTCATTTAATTTAGGCTATGTAAATGCTCTCTACAACTTTGTTTCCTAATACTACAATTGTGCGCCGAAGATAATTTATCACAACTTTTTAATGTTTTACCTTATACTATTACACAGTTCAGATAGTCAATAAATGTTCATCAATAAATGGGTATAACTTTCTTCAATTCTAATGAAACGAATACTTGTTTACATTAATAAATTCTACTGTTACAGAATCACTATTGATGGGTAAAGTATATGATCCCCCCACCCAATATTAGTTTGGATTATAAAAAAATTGATTCACTTTCTAGCATTAGTATGATTCTCTTCTCTCATATTGATTTTAAAAAAATATGATTAGTCTTTCGTGGTTAATTGAAAAAAATAAAATAAATTGGGATCCTATGATTATTCGATCTCCTTTGCATTAACTAAAAAAGTTTGATTACCAAATACAGACTTTATGAGTAAAAGAAAATGATTCTTCTATCACACATCGCTGCATTAATTTAGAATAGGAAAATTGATTATATCAATAATATTATTCATCTCTCCTGCATTAATATGTTTCTATTCTTTTGCATTGATTAATAATTATGATTCTTTTCTCCCCACATGATTTAAAAATAAAGGCTTGGATTAGCACTACTATGATTCAAAAAATAATAATTTAAAAAACATTAAAAGCCCTATAATTCAACTCCCCAACGTTAACTCAAAAAAAAATTAATATAAAAAAACATTAGTGATCCGATAATTCTAAATAGAAATTTACAAAAAATTTGATATTTTTTTATTTCAATTTTTTTCTGTTTGAATTCAAGCCCGTGAAAACATTCTTTTCACAATTTATTTGATTTAAATTTTTGATGTTTTAAAAAATAGTCTAGGCATTACTTGTTTTAAAGAGAAAATAATTTTAATTCTAAATTTGGATTCATGAGTTCAAAATAAGTAATTATTATGTTTAGGAAAAGAATAAAAAAGGTGAAATAATTAAAAAGAGTAAATTTGATTAAAATGCCACCTAATATGCCACATGTCAAGTTCTTAGTATGTCACAAGTAAAGTTCTTAATATGCCACATGTGAAGTTCTTAATGATTGGAGTAAAATAATAATGTACCTTCGCAATGGATTACCCTCAATTTTTAACACTTGCAAGCTAGGTTCCAGTAAACCCTACAAAAATTGGTGAGGAAATGAATTAGTTGAAAGTACAGGCGGAATTGTTCAGGAAATTAAACCCTACTGTACTTCTGCACCATTTCATCCATATTATTGTATTTTAAATACCTATATATACCATTTCATGTGTGCGTGTGTGTGTGTGTGGTGCGTGCATGCGTGTGCACCCAATACTCAGCTGCAGCAACAATAATAATCACGGTTCCGGATCTTTTAGATAGCTTAACTGTTGGCCTTTGGATGATGGTCTAAAGCAGGTTGTTAAAAACAGTTAGTCCAAAGACAATTATGGTGGAGGTATGAGAGGCCAGGTTTCAAAGCTTCAAAATCTCAAGGGGGTCCTGAAATATTGGAACAGAGGTCAGCTATGAACAGAGGCAGAGGAAACTTATGAAGATCTCAACCAAATGATGTCTCTATGGAAGCTGCTGAACTTGCTAATGCAAAACTTATTCAAGCTGCCAAAAAATAGGTCAACTATTGGTCCCAAAAGGCTCATGTTAAATGGATCTCAGAAGGTGATGCTCCTAATAAGTTCTTCCATTCCTTTGTCAATGGTAAAAGAAGAAGACTTCGTATCAGCACTATAAGATCATCAGGGGAGGAATCTTACTAATCAAGATGATATCAAGAGGATTGCCTGTGATCACTTCCAGAAACTCTTCTACAAGGTTGATACTGCTGGACCCAGATGAAATCCTTCATTTTATTCCTAATATTATTACTGCAGGTGACAATTTGATGATGCCTCGCCATTCCCTCCAAGGAAGAAGTGAAAATTGCTGTTTTTGGGCCAAATGGTTATAAACTTATAATGGCAGCTTTTACAAGGAATGCTGGGAGATAATAGGTGATGATGTTTGTAAGGCTGCTCAAGATTTCTTCGTGGGAACTAACACAACTATGGCCTATGGTAGCACCTTGTTTCCCAAAACTGTCTCTCCAACTTTTGGTGACTTTCGGCCAATTAGCCTTTCCACATTCATGAGCTTTAAAGACAAGGAACCTAGCCTCTAAACTTGGCAGCTTATTGTCTTATTCACAAGTCCCAACCAAGCTAGTTTTCAAAAAAGGCAAGGGTGCTGATGACCAAATCCTTCTCACTAGTGAGATGGTTCACAATCTGGCCATAATTGCAGATGGAGGCTATTTAAAGAACTACAAGCTGGGTAGGTTGGATCCTGTAACACATATCTCTTTTGCATATGATATCATCATATTCACCGGTGCTAAGGTGACTGAATTCCTGGGCATGCAGCATGGATCTTTACCCTTCAAGTATCTGGGAG